CTTGTTGTTTGTTTTCTTGATTAGTAACTCTGAAACTATTTTCATATTTTGGTCTTGTCTTATCCATTTTTTACACTTGTTTGTTGTCTGTTTTGCTTTATTTTTATAACCTTTATATATACTTATTTTTGTTTGTGTTTTTCTTTCTTCTTTATGCATTAGCTAATATTTTGCTAATATGTTTTTCTTTTTTTTCTTAATTACTTTGCTAAATTACTGATTGTGTTTTGATCTGTGTATAATCCATTCTTTTCTTCTTCAGTCTTCTGAAATTTTTGTCTACTTAATCTTTAATGCCTGTGTGTTGTAGCTATTTATTTTGTAGTAGTTTTGTACTTCTTTGATTGTTTGTATTTTTAGCATTTTTTTTTTTATTTTATTGAACTATTTGGCTTTTTTTTTTTTACATAATAGGTCTTGAAAACTCCTGAGCTGTTTTCATGTAATTAAGTTGTTACCTCTCATATCTATTAGGTGATTCATATATAATAATCTCTATTCATTTATTGTGCTACTACTTGCTGTTCATATTTTTGTTTTTAGCATGTTTTTTATTTGTCTATGATGTTTGTAAATTTTTCATAGCCATTTTGCTATCTTAATGTTTATTTCTATTTCTTTTGCTTTAGCTATAATTTGCATGCTAAGTTATTTTTCCAGAACTTTTTAGCTTCTGGTTTATTTTCATTGTGCCAAATGTTTTTTGTTAGGCCTGCTTTCTGGCATTCTTAAGCTATTCTGAGCCTTGTTAATTTATCTAAACTGTCTTGTCTGTTAAGTTTTAAGAAGATACTACTAATTTGCTTAGTTGTTATTTTTTGGCTTAGTGATTTGCAATTGCTTAGGTTTTTATGTTCAATCATGCAATTGCTTGATGTTTTCATCATGTTGCATTTGTGTTTAGCCAAGCATATTAGTGATTAATATATTTTATCAATTATCTTTTCTAATATCTTCATTAATTGTAAGATATTCTAGCTTAGGAATTATTACTGTACTGTTTATATATGCAATCTGGTCCATTGTTATTTTTTTGTATCTCAGATCTTTGACTGTTTAACTAACTATTCTTTTTGCTTTTTTACATATTAGTGCTTCTTTTATTTTACTGTTTAGCCAGATTCCTAGTGATTTTACAATCTTATTTTTGGGTTTTTCTGTTATTTTGCTATAACCAAAAGTAATTTCTCTTTTTGCTTCTTTAATTCTTGTATTCATTACTATAAGCTTTGATTTAAAATCATTTATTTCAATATTATTTACTTTAAAAAACTCTTCTGCAATACTTAGAATTCTTAGCATTTGCTTTTTGCTATTTGCAATCCATGTTGTGTCATTTGCATACATGATTGCTACTTGCCTGTATCTTATAATTTTGTTATTATATGCTTTTTCTGCAAATTCTTGTTCTACTACATAGCCTAGTGATTCATCTTCTTGTATTCTTTTTAATAATGAGTCATAAAAGAAACACCAAATTAGTAGTGAAATCACCTCTTCTTGATTTATTATGTCTCCTACTATTATCTCTTCTGTTAAGCCATAAGTTGTAATAACTTTGAGTTTCTGCTTACAGAAAATATTGCTTATATATTTTTTTGTTTTTTGTGATATTTTGACTCTTTTCAGAGCCCATTCTAGGCTTTCTAATAGAACTAAGTCGAATGTTTTTTTCATGTCCTGTAACAGTATTCAAACTTTTTTATTTTTTTTTGTACTTTTTTCATTATTATATTCAGTATATATATAGGTTGCTCTGTAAAGTTGCCTGAAAGACCTGCAAAATTTGAATTCTTGAGTATGCTTTTCTGTAAATACTTTGGCTAAACTTTTTGTTACTAACTTTGTAACAACTTTTTTAAAAGTTTCAATCAATGCTATTGATCTAATGTTGTTTAGACAATATTTTCAATCTATATCTTTCAGAATTGGATATACTTGTGCTATTTTCTACTTTTTTGGTATATCTTCTCTTTTTAAAATTAGATTCGCAAATGCTCTAAAGATTTTTTGTAATTACTTTTCTACTCATTTTATTAATATATAACTTATATCTGATATTCCTGAAGCTGTATTTGCTTTGAATTCTCTAAGTATGTCTTTCTATTCTTTTTCTTCTATTTTTCTATTTAATTTCTTATACTAGGCTTATTGATCTACTTCTTCAGATTATATATTTCTTTTTATTCTTTTGTTATTTCTTCTAGTTTAGTTTTCTTTTTCCTAAATTAATTTTTGTAATGAGCTGTCAAACTATTTAGAACTGTGTTTGGCTCTGATATTAGGTTGATTTCTTCTTTGTCTTGCATTATGAATCTGTCTAAAATGATCTTCTTGTATAGTCTATTTAGTAGGCTTTAAATCATTTGTTCTTGATCAGTTTTAATTATTTTACATTTTCTGTTTACATTTTCTTCTATTTGTTTTCTCTGTCTGTTCTCATTTCTTTTTTTTAATCTCTTTGATTATTTTTTGCCAGTCTTTGATATTGTCTATTCAAGCTTCTGACCATTGTCTGTTTAGTTTTGGTAATATTACTCCTAACTCTTTCTCTATATTCTTTAGTTTATTGTTCATTTTGATTTCTTCTTCTTTTTCTATATTTTGATTCTTTATATTTTTTGCCTTCTTAATTATTTGTTAAAGTTTAATAATATATTTGCTTTGTTTTGCCTTTTTTTGGTCTTGTCTTCTGTTTATCTATGTTAAATATTTTTTTCTTTAGGATTTGCTTGTTTGGTACTTCAATTATGTTCTTTTCTATTGCATTCTACATTTGATCTAGTCTGTCTATACTATAATCTACTTCTGCTTCATTATCTTTTAGTTGTTTTAGTACTTTTTTCTATTTTAACTGATTTTGTAGCTCTCTTGCATACTCTTTTCAGTTTTCTTGTTTTGTTTTATCATATAGGTATATTGTTCTTGTTTGGTTTTTATATTTAATTTCTGCTTTGCGCATTTTGCAATTACATGTTCTACTCATACTTCTGCTGTTATTATTTTGTAGTTACTATTTGTTAGACCTTCTGCTTCTTTTATGTTCACCTTCTGTAAGCCTAATGCAAATGCTTCTAATAGCCAAATGTAATCTATTCTTGTTGTAGCCTTTTGATTTGACTATTTGTATGCTTCTTTTGTCAAATGCATATTTCTGAATGAGTCTACAAAGTTCTGTCTTTTGAGTCAGCTGAATATTGGTAGTCTTTTGTAACTTGATATTTGTGGATGTTGTTTATCTAATATGTTATCTACTGTATAATTAAAATCACCTAATATAACTATTTCTATACATCTTTTCTTGTTGTTACTATTTCTATAATTCTTTGCTGAATTTTTTTATTTATTGATTTGTTATTTAGTAGAATATATACTTCTAATGCTACTAGTTCTAATTGTTTAAAATATAATCTCACTTCTAGCAAGTATTCACTAATTTTTTTAATAGCTCTTATATGTTTTTCCTACTTTTCATCTATTAGTATTCTTATGTCTGATCCTTTTTTCTTGTTTATTTCTGCACTAGTCCAGTAACCCTTATATTGTGTATTATAATTATATAATAAAAGTTTTCCTTTCTTTTCTGTAATGTTCATTTCTGTTATCTCTATTATTGTAAGTTCTTTTTTGTTTGTCTATTCTATCAATTTTTCTAATTTTTAACCTCTAGTTTTAAGTTCATTAAAGTTGTAACATGCAATTTTAATTTCTTTCTTTTCTTGTTTCTATTTGTCTTTCAAATATTTATATTGTTTTTATATCTACTGCTTTTTTTTTCTTTTTTTTCTTTGTTTCTCTTTTGCAATCAGAAGATATTTACAATTTACTTCTTTTAAAGTTTCTTCTTTCTTTGTATAGAAACTCTTTAATTTCCTAGTCTATATTCATTGATTCAACTAGAGCACCCTTAGAAGTAATAGGCCAGACTTCTCTCTGTTGCATTATTTGTGTCTTTCAATCTTTCAAGTCTTTTCAAAATTCAATTTAGAATAGAATTTTTTATTTTTTCGCATATGCAATAAAACACATACTCCTATTTCTTATAAGTCATGTGATACACTAATTGAATCATATGTACTACTTTCAATTACATGAATACTTAAAGCTACAGTTTATTATACTTATACTTACTCTTTATCAAAGGCTTTTTTTCTATGTAAAAGTGTAAGTGAAAAGGTATAGAAAAGAAATAGTAAGGAGAAGTCATCTAATTTTGTTGAACTAAAGCTATACAAAGGTAAGCCTCAATTATCTACTGCATTTTTAACATTAGCATTCAAATTTTACTAGGAGGTAAATATGCTAAACCTTTATTATTTAAAGTTTCACTAAAAAACTATAAACCTTATACAAAGCTAACTTTGATTATACTTGTACCTTTCTTCTTATAAGTAGAATTTAATGATAAATGTTTGATTTTAATAATAACCCTTCTTTTAGTCTTTATTTTAGCAGGCATAAATCATTTATTTGATAATACAAACTACTTGAATATCTGTAGCAATTTTAGGCTAAAGTCTTAACTTTTAAAAAAAATGTATTTATTAAATACAAACTAATAACCTTTAGGTTTTGCAAGAGCATGATTTCATTGAAGTGCAAGTATGTGAGTTTATTGAAGTACACAAGTGTAGTTTTGTTAAAGTAAAGTCATAAAAAGGTAAAGACTTAATTATTTACCATATTTGCAGAATTAGCATTAGGATTTTACTGAGAAGTCTGAACTAAGAGTGTTCTGAATATTTTCAACTTTAAAGTTTATTAGAAAGCTATTAAATCCTACCAAGGCCAAGTTTGATCATATCTTTTTCCTGTAAATATAATTTAGTGTTAGTGAGTCTTAATTTCAATAATGTCACTTTTTTATTTTAGCAAGTGTATTTGATAGTAAAAGTACTACTTGGATAGCTATAGTAATTTTAAATTAAAGTCTCAATTTATAAAAGGCATATGCTTATTAGATAAAAACCAATAACCTTAAGTTTTACTGGTATTACAAGCTAGTTTTTTTGGGTCTTGTCTGCATTGTTGTTTATGCTTTTATCATAAATGAAAATCTGAATGATTTTGTGACTATAAATGAAGAACCAGAAGACTTTCTTATAAGTAAAAAGCCAGAATATACATATTTTATAAATGAAGAATCAAACAATCTTGTTATAAATGAAGAAGCCATAAATTCTTTTAACTCTGAATTTGGAACAGGTGTATTAAGAGTTTTGTTCATAGATGATAATTGTAAAACACAATGTTGATGTATTAATATTTTTATTTTATTTTGTTTAAAATCAATAGAGAGTAGTGATGATAAATTATTTTAAAATGAAGCTGAACCACTATTCTTATTTTCTGGAAAAAGCTTTGTATATAGAAAGAATATAAATCATTTCTCAGTAAATAGGTAAAAAATTAAGAATTTCATCTTACTAAAGGTTGTGTTAGTCAGAAAAATAGAGTCCTTTGTCAAAGGACTTATTTATGTAATCATGATGGATTTTATGAATCAAACACAGAAAAGTGTACAAATACAAAAAAGATGCAGTGTTCTTTTCATATTAATATATCTTGCCCTAAAGTTAACAATATAGAAGGTTCTATATTAATTAACAAAATAGATGATAGTTATAATCATTTATTGAACCAAAGCAAAATCATGTTTAAAAATAAAAAACAATTTACTGCTGCAATGTTGGCTGATGTAAAATTTATAACTGAAAATTGTAAATTTGGAGCTATTATACAAAAAAAGTTCATAGAAAACAAGTATCCAACACAAACAATCTGTTCCAGAACTTGTATTCTGCAATACAAAAATTTTGCACTACTAGAAAATCATTACTTAATGATGTGGCAAAGGTATGATCTAGTTTATTATATGTAAGTAAGATTATAAATAAGTTTTGATATATTATTTTATAGGTTTCTAACTGGCTTGATCAGAAAAAGGATATGGATCCTTGTTAGGTAGTTGTGCATAAGTTTGATAATGACAATATCTTAATACATTTATTATGGATGACATCAGGTTAAGTTGAAAATTGAATCCAATACTCAGATTGCATTTTACATGATGTTACTCATAAGACTAATCATTATAAGATGATGTTATCATTATTTGTTAGATTCAATAGTAATCACAAAAATATTTTATTAGCACAAGCACTACTTTGTGATGAAAGTGTTAACTTATATAAATAAGCTTTTGAGAAAATAATAAAAGTGATAAATGTTTGTTCAACTATAATTTTTACTAATGCTAATCTAGCAGTTGATGCTGCAGTTTGTCAAGTATTTATCAAAACATATCCAATTCACTATGCTTATCATCTAACACAGAATCTACATAAAAATCTTAAAAAACTTTTAGGTGATGTATATCAAAACTTTCTTAAAGCCTTTTATATATGTTGTAATAGTTTTTCTAAAAAATTTTTTTACCAATAATTCTATAAACTTATTCAAACCTATCTTAGCACCAAAAGTTATTTAGAGTTTTTTTTTAAATCAAAAACTTATTAGGCCTATTGTTTTATATGTTTTAAGTTTACTAAAGACATAATCACTATATTACAGATTGAATTAGTAAATGCATGCCTGAACCATTTGCTACATAGTTCAAACATCTCATTATATGAACTTTTAACTAAAATAACTAGGTTGTTAGATATTCAGGATAGGGAGAATGAATATAGGTTTTGGAAGCTCATGATTCTAACCATCAAAAATCAGAAGAAAGTAAACTTTTTATTTACTAATATTAATAAATATATTCAAAATTTTCTCTCACCAACAATTTTACAAATGCAATATAATGAAATTAACCAGTTAGTTTATTATATATTAAATATAATTAAAGATTCAATATATTCTTGTAAAGTAGAGGTCTAATTGTTTATTTTATTTTAATAAATATACTGAAGTATATTAAGTTTATTTTCTAATAAAATGATGAATCAAGTGATTCTTAGAAAGAATTTGAAGTTGATGATATACAAACTAGTTTTATTGAATTAGTTGAATTTGTCAACTTGGACAATATTCAAAAAACTTGGACTATTAATATTAGAAATTTATTAAAAATAAAATATTATATTTTATTGCTAAAAAATTAGTCATACTTGTGTTCCTGTTTATCTATTATACAATATGATATAGTATGTTAGTATTACTTTCAGGTAATGCTAAATATAAGTAATGCAATGTTTTATATTCAGATGCTTTCTTCATGTTGGTATTGTACAAATGAAACTGATGCTGAAGAACCATTTATAGTAGCAGATAAGTTTTAAAAGAAATACCTAAAGCATCTGATCTTCTAGTTTCATATTTGTATCTGTTTAAACAAGAAAAGTCTGATTTTCGAGCAGAAAATTTAACAACTCTTGAACAAAAGATAATTTATAGAAATATTCATAATGCATATAAAAGAGCCCTTTATAAGACATTGCAAAATAAAACAAAATTATATAATTTAATTGAATTACTTAAGAAATTTGCTGAAGATGATGAACAATTTAAATCAGATGATATGCAAGATAATGATATGAATAACAAAGAGAATAGCAATCTTATGATTTAAAACCCCAAAATTTACTATAGTCAGAGTCATCCCAAAGGTACTAAATGTTTAATATCAGCCTATGAAGTATCAAAATCTATGACAAATCAATATCAATATAAGAAATGTGATGGTCTTGGTCATTATCAAAAGAATTGTAAGGTAACTTTATTGATTTAAAAATGTTAAATTAATTATGTATTTCAAAGCTAATAAAACATTTGTACAGATTTAAAAAATGTTATTCAGTAGTGCAATACATTGTATAGTCTTATTTTATTCATAATAATATAAAGTTACTAATAAGTTTTTATATATTTGATAATTGTTAAACTATAGTGTTTTAAATTAATATTGGCTTGTCTAACTAATTATTTGTAAAATATTCAGCAAATGCTAACTTAAAGCATGACAATTAATATAACAAAATAATTATTATAATCGCTAATAGATTTTATTATATGTAAACTACTTTGAATAAAAAAATATTTATACATATTCGTACATTTTAAATGAAGTCTACTAAATGAAACACTTCTCTATATACAAAAATGCAGAGTTGTATTAATTAGTTGTATATGTATGAGTTAGTAATTTTAGGAAGGTACAACTCACAGATATTAATTTTGAGTGCAACATTATGTTATATATCGATTTATGATAACTCTATAGTCTCTAAAAATCCAAAAATACTTATTTGTGCAGGTAATACAAGCTCAAAAAGGAAGTTAAACATAAAAATAAACCAAGTGCATGAAGTTAAAAAATTTAGAGTTATGGCTTTAGTATTAGAGGTCATAGAATTAGATTAGCATTTACTATATATAAAATTTATTCCTAACATTTTTAATTAGGCAGGTTTAAACACTCATTTTCTTGTACTTTTACTTTTTTTGTCTTGCACATATGCCAGACTGATCCAAAATAAATACAATTTGTGTTTTTCAATTTGCCCAAGTTATATCTGATATAATTTACAAGCTGTGGCATGTATCTTTAATAGTTTTTATATAGTTATTATTTTTGGTTAAGTAATATGATACAAATATTCAATCAGTTAAATAACATATAGTGATTTAAGCCATAAGGTTTAGTCTGCTGGCTAAGCCAGCTGGCTAAAATATCAGCTAATCAGCTAGCTAATAGCTAATATTATACCATATTTCCAGAAATTTTAAATAAACTTATCACTCAATTTTACATTTATTTATTTTTCTTTTCAGAATTTATTAGAATTCTATTATATACTAAAATCATATGATCTTTAGCCACATTAGCCAGCCAATCATATTATATTGGCTGGCTAAACCAGCTAAGCCAGCTTAGCTGTGACTGCTATAGCCAGTTTAAATTGCTAGTAACATGATATAAAAATTTAATTTGTTAAGTAACATAATACAAAATGTATAATACATATTATTATTATAAAATATATTAACACATAACTTATAGAGACTGGCATTATAACACTATGGCAATAAATTATAAAATTCTTTAGGATATTACTTGTATATGAAAATTCTTTTTGTATTTGGGAATTGGTTTTAGCAATTTTTCTTCTTCAAGATCTGCCTTTTTCTTTGAATGAGTTTATATGTTTTGTTTTATTTTCTGCAGTTTAATCTTGTATATAACTTCTGTTTGCTGTTATTCAATTTTTTACTTTTTGATTTTGTTCTTTTCTTCTCTTGTTTATGTTTAATCAAAATTTCTGTTCTTCATTTTTTTTATTGTTTTCTTTTGCAATAAAGGTTTGGCTAAACCTTTTTTAGCTTTTTCTTCTTTTTTGTTTGAAACTTTTTCTTTGTCTTGTTTTTTTCTTTTTTTCTTTTATTCAGTAAAGTTAGAAGTTATTAAACATGAACAGTTTTGATTGGGCTAATTTTATATCTTTTTCTGTTGCAAACATGACTATTGTAATTCTTTTTTGGTTTCTATTTCTATTTGAAGGTATGTGAACTGATTTAACTATTTTGTTTCTCAGACTATATAATAGCAAGATTTTTGAGACACTTTCTAGTAGTTTTGTTAGTTTTGCTATATATTTTTTTTGTTTTTCTCTCACTTTGTAATCTTCTATTTTTTTGGTTACTTATACTAGTTTGTTATTATTTACTGATATAGCCTATAATACATTCTCATATATTTCTTTTATTTGTACTATTGCTAAGGCCTTGTATTTTGATCTTTTAATTCTTATTATGCAGGCTTTTCTAAATCTTCTGTGAAATTCTAATTCTTTTTTGTTTATGTCTGTTGGCAGATTTCAAATTATTATGTAGTTTGTGTTCTCTGATTCTTTATTTATTTAGTGCTAGTTTTCTTTTGTTTTGGTTTTATTCTTCTTTTATTCAAGTTCTTCTTTTTTGGTTTTTGCTTCACTGTTTTTTTTCTTCTGATATTTCTTGTTGTATTGTATTTGTTTTCTTTTACTACCTTCTTCTTTTCTTTTTAGTATCATTTTATACCAATTACTCTTTTTTTTGCTAATTTTTTGTATTGTTTCATTTCTTCTATATTCGCAGTCAAAGTCTACTTCTATTCATATATTTTCTCTTTTAAAGATTTCTCTAATATCTTTAATATGTATATTGTTTCTTAAAGACCATCTAATTAATTTTATATAATCTTCTTTTGTTTCACCAAGTACATTGTATGCTAGTATATTAGTAAGTAAACTGTTATTTTGATTATAGTTTCTTTTGTTTAGAGTTCATATATTCTCTTTTAAGAGTTCTTCAACTATGTTAATTTCTCTTTCAATCCCTGTTCTAATGCCTTCTTGTTCTTGTTTTTCTTTCTGTTCTTCTGTATTCTTTCCTTAGATAGGTGAATTCTTTTTGTCTTGGTTTTTGTTTGTTAAACTTATCTTTATACTTACTTCTTACTTTTTTAATTAAATATTTTTTCTTATCAATTTATAAATTTATAAAAAATATTTAAATTATTTAGTTTTTAATTTATAACTTTTTTTATTATTATGCAAACTATATTTTGTCAATTAAATAAAAATGTTTTTTATATTATTTTATATATAAAATAAAATTTTTTTAAAATTTAAAAAAATTTTTATTAAAATAATTTATAAATAAGTACTTGTAAATATAAAAAATATA